ATTACTAAAAGAAATGAGTTAAATTACGATAGACTACATAACTAAAATGGAACTTTGCGCAAATTACAAGAATTATATATTGGCCTAATCAATATGGTAATTCAATTAAGAGAAATGTTATTAATACTCCAAAATTTATTTCTACCATCTTCACAAGTGTATTTTTCTTTCTAATTATAGAAAGTTTAGAGTGCGAAATGAGATTTTTTGAGTGGCAGTCAGTGGCGAAGCTACATGAAGGCGAAGAGTAGCGGCCGCCCCTTCCTTCACCGGAAAATATGCCTAAGAACGCTAATTCAGCCCCTCCGCTTTCGATTAAACATGATCTTCAATTGAATTTGGATACTGAGTCACAAAGGATAAATCTAGAAAATACTAGGGCACTGAGATTTGCCGCATATATAGGATGGTGGTGATAAGGTCATATTTGATTTGGACTATAATCGATGTAAATGTTGGAGGAAGGAGTGTGTGTGCTTGACAGAGGAGAAAGGGGCTGGGGGCTGAGATCTCTGGCGTTGGCAAGAAGGGAAGAAGAAGAAAGGTTATGTTTGGTCACAGGTTTAAAGGAAATGTTTGTGTTTGGTTACATTGATTTGAGAAAGTATAAATGGACAAATGTTACAATCTTATTGGGCCACTTAATAAAATGAGTAAATTGGGTACTGAATAGGCAGTACCCAAGCATGGTCCTTTCCTGGTCCCCCACCCCACTTTTTCTTTTTCTCTTCTGACCCCCACCTTTTTTAGTGGTTTGTTAACACTATTTCTCTCTTTTATTTATTTATTTGTTTATTATTCTTGTATGTATGTTTTCATTTTTTTAAGACCCCAAGCGTATTTATCTTAAACTCTCACATTATCTATAAAAATTGTATTAATTTTTAAAAAATAATGTAAATATTGTTTAACGCTTATTTTACGATAAAAAAAATTCATTTAAATCCATCTAGGCTCTTTCCTAAATCTTGCCTAGGCACCTAGATGCTAGGCCCGAATCTAACGCCTAACGTTTTTAAAATCTAATCATAACCAATTTAAGTTTCTTACATGGCTTTGATATTACTGCTTACAATCGCTTTAGTAAAGAGACTGTTTTCTGTTATGAATATTGACTCAAAACTTTGCACTCTCTAATATGAAAGCAACCGTTTTGATTGAACATTGCACTCTTTTGAATTCTGTCCCTCTTCTCGGCAAATCCTGACTTCGCCACTGGTGACAATAACAATTCTTTTCAATTAATCAGTACAATACATGTATTGTGTTATGTACATGTAAAAACCAAACCCTAATTTCGTTTTATTCAGTATTTTAAAGACAAAAGGTTGAACTATTTAATTGTCACACTCATGTATAAGTTGTACAAAAGAGAGGGAGAAACTGGATTTGCATGGAGATTTGGGGACATACAAGTGTCAACATATGTTTGCGTTGAGTAAGATAAGTTCGTTCACTTTCCGTTAAGTTTTACTAGATTAACTGCGCAGACATACATGTATACCTTATCCAAACGTCATTGTTCCCTGCTACTGACAAAACCACCATCTTAAACGGAAGAGAAATTTTCACGATTCTATTACCATCTTAAACGGAAGAGATAATGCATGGATCTATCAGATTCTATCACGATCATGTTCCTTTAATTTAAAAATAGACAAAACTACAGTTAATTAGCTATGCTTGCAATGTTCACGAGGTTTATTTTGAAATATTAAAGTAATACATTAATTTAACTGTGAATTAAAATTAGCTTCATGCAAGCTTCAAATCCAAAAATGGACACCCACCAACTAAAATATCCTCTCTCTCTCTCTCTCTCTCTCTCTCTCTCTCTCTCTCTCTCTCTCTCTCTCTCTCTCAACACGGTCTCTGTGCATTTCCAAGTCCAAAAATGGACACCCAACAAACAAATGCTAAGTTACATTTCTTTTTGTCCTGAAAAAAAAAAAAAAGGAAAGAACATTATATGTGAAGAAATATGTAATCGCCATGAAAAGAACTTCACAAGGGTTGGGTTTTTTTTGTTCTTTCTTATGCGAGAGTTGGGCTTATTTGGCTTAAGCTTATTTTTAGCTTTATTCCCTGGAATTTGATTTCATTCTCAATTTACTTTCTGTAATTCAAAAATCGTCAATTTACTCTCTGAAACTCAAAATTCGCTCCACTTTGTCAGTTGGAACTCGATTTTGATCCCATTTTGCCCCATAAAACTCAAAAATCATCTCTATAAAACTCAAAATTCGCTCCACATTACCTTAAGTCCATTAACTTCTCATCTGGGTTTGATTTAGGTTTACCATGCTAATTTTTTTTTTTCACCTTTTCAATTTCTTTTAAACTTAATATTTTCTTATTGTTGAATATTAACGCATAATGGAGACTTATAATCAAATTTACTGCACATGTGGCATGAGCTTATTAAGTGGTGGGTCCCATATATGCTTCAAGAGACGACCTATGAGTTTCAGAGAATAAGAGAGAATCCACAAGTTAAAGTAAGACAAATTTTGAGAGTTTCATAGAATAAGAGAGAATCTACAAGTTAAAGTGGGACAAATTTTGAGTTTCAAGAAGTAAAGCGGTAACTTTTGAGTTACAGAAGTAAAGTGAGATCAAAATCAAGTTCTAGGGGGTGTAGGTAAAAATATATGGAAACCCTTAACAATTGGAGTAACGCGTAGGCACATTGGGAATTGCTTTTGAAAGAGTTGAAAGTGCTTCTGATAAATAAAAAAATTCTTTTGATCATACGTAGGCGAGAATAACTACAAAAAGCACTTTTAAATGCTTTTGTAAAAAGCACTTGGATCTGTTTGGGTAAAATTTGGCTATAAGTGTTTTTATTATAAACTCGTTGCAATTGAAAATGCTACATAAAAGCATTTGACATGCACTTTTCCAAAAAAGGATTCTATGAGCTAGAAGCATTTCTAAATTTTGCTGTCAAATTTAGATAGAACGCTTTTGCCCTGTAAAAGATTATTTTACTTATTTCAGAAGCAATCACAGACGTCAACATGTTTATAAACAGAAGCACTTTTTTTAATAGAAACATTCTCAAACGAGATTGGTTGGACTATTGGAGGCAGTGTCATCATTTTCAGTTGAGGCCCATGTTTCCAAGGCCAATTTGCCGATCAAAATGGACTAGGCCATAACTAATACAGACTCTTTTTTATGACTTCCGTCTTCTAGTTAGCAGATTAACGCGTAAACTTTCCTGCTTGAGCCCAAACACACACAGCCGAAGGAGTCCAAGACCTTATGGGAACCCAACTTGTGGAAGAATTTGAATTCTGAAATATGTCAGTTACTGTTTCCTCCGCAGAAAATGATAGAACCCCATGCCTAGGCCTTCCACGTTTTACATTCATTCAGCCTCCTTCCTCCCATAAGATCCGAAACGCTCTCCCACCCCTCTCCGTTACAAACGATGCCAACCAAATCAACTGAGAAACTGTTTGGAGCGGAAAGTTTCGGTTTCTCCAATCCCTCAACAAGTAAATCTTGTAACCATGTTGAGAAGCTTTGGACGTTATCTTCACTTGCCCCATCAATAAGGGAGGAGGGGAACCTGCAAGAAAATACTCTGAAGTCAGTCATTGTTCAAGATGGTTGTATAATATAGAATGATCTCATACCTCACCAACCCCAACCTCCCCCACCCCAAAAAGCTGATGGGATTATTGCCCTTTTATAGGCATTCAAGTTTTGGGCTCCAAGTTCCACTCTCCTATTTCTCCATGTTTGGTGTGCTAATGGCTTATTTAGTTGAGTCATTTTTGGCTCCCACAGAAACCTCAATGCGTTTCTTCCACTACTCGATCGATGCCTTCAAAATTCAGGTAAAGGAATTGTTCTTAGCTTGATGCCAACTGTGTTCTGGTAAAGCCTGAGCGTCGAATACATGAATGTTCTTTTGTTCATTCATTCAGATGAGTCCTATACAAAATTGCTTCTAGAATTTATACGAAATGAATGAAGCATGTGCCCTCTTATCAACTTGGCCAAGTGATTCTTTTCGTTGTTATCAAGTGATCCTTCGGACACGAGTGAAGGAGGCATGTATAGTGTTTTAGCCAACTAGCTTATCTCGTGTCTGGTTAATAGTTTAGAATTGATTAGATACATTATTAGTGGGCAACTGCATCCCAGAGTTCTCTTGGAAACGTTTATGTTAATTCCATGATATATAGTACTGCCAAATTCCAACCACTTCTCCTTTTGTACGACTTGAATCGACAGGGGTTGACACCAAAGGAAAAGCATCATCGTCGGATCCTTTTTATGAAGATCCTAAGAATTCAATGATCATGATCGTTCATCGTATATCGTACGATCAATTTTCGTTAACTACTATTTATATTTAATTTTAAATTTTAAATTTTGAAATGATTTCTAACTGCATAATGTACAATAAACGATTATGATTACGAAATCTTTAAGATTCCCAAGAAAATGATCTAACGAGGATACTTTTCCAACACCAAAAGCAAAACAAAGAGAATCCACTGGAAAGTAACTGACAATATATTGAATTATTTTTTAACTAAACGTCCATCATCATTGAATTCTTGGTTTTCATTTTAGTTGCAGGAGTTGCTGTGGTGTAGTTAAAGTGGAGCTTCTGCATTAGCTTCGTTTGGAAGCAATCGAAAGTGGTAGGATCCGTATGGAAGTATTTTAAAAAGCTGAAAACACTTTTGGTAAAAATGCTTTTGAAACTAATTCTCGATAAAATAACAAATGACTTCTGGAAAAACATTTTTTTGCTTCATGCAAGAAACATATAACTGCTAATTCTCGTGCGAAGTATTTAAGTGCTCTTGAGCTTTGATAGGGAAAAAGAACTCTGTTTCCCGTGTCAGTATCTCAAACCAATCACATGGCATCAGGAGTTAGGTTAGTTTCTCTGCCATTAGGGGATGGGGAGGGAGAGTGAGTTGTGACTTGTGAGAAACACAAATTTAAATCACTGGATTTAAGGGACAGAGATCTACATCTGAAAGTTTGGACACTTAATTCCTCTAGTAACAAATATACAGAGATCCAAGTTTATAGAGTATAAGAAAACCAGAACCACAGAAAATGGAAAACGAATTCGAGGACAACAGAATTCGAGAAAGAACATACTGATAATAAATCCTTATTGTAGTAAACCCCATTTATTTCTGATGACCTGAATGGCAGATTAAAAGGGGTTGAAAACATTTTCTAAGTACAGAAAAGAATGTACAAGATATAGCAAACCCATCGGAGACGACCATATCAAAACACATCCACACACACAAACAATATATGGTATATGGCGGCTTACTCGAACGATTCCCAGTTAAACTTACGGTAGGGAGATTGATTGGCGGCTTTGGATGTCGAAGAGGTTGGGATCAATGCAGGGGCAGAATCGAATGTCTCCCACTGTGTGGTCACAACTACCGGCCCTGATGCCGACTGCCTTGATGGCTGTTCTTGCTGTTGCACTTGCTGATTATGCGTGGGTGAATAGCCAACTGAATTCCTTGGTTGATGCTCTTGAATTGGTGCTAGTCTATGTCCATTCCCATTGGAATGACCATTTGAATGCCTCTGCTGAACTTGCTTTGGAATCTGACTTCCGTTGCTGCTAGGCAAGGAGTTTTTAACTTTCAATACATCTAGAGTTTCGACATACTTCTGCACGCGTTTTACCTTCAAAACAAATTTGTGATCGCATTTTAAAGTTGTACTTCAAATTGTGGAGCAAAATCCATGGAATGTGATTACTAACATGACTAGTAATCGAAATTACCTGCATTTTCCTCTGTAGTTTCACATCTCCGTCTCCCATGATCCCGTCTAATTTAAGCAACTGGTTCATCAATTGCTCAATCAGAACAAGCACATCTTGCTCTGCAACTTTTTTACCTTTACTGACAATTGATTCAAGAGCCGACACCTACATTTCCCAAAGCCAAATTTCAATTTCCAAAACACAAGATTCTAAATTACACAAAATCTTTGCATACACTTCTTTAACAATACCTGGCCAGCAAGCCTGTCTACTTCCAAGCTGATTTCGGAGATGGACTTCGAAGCCCTTTCCATCTTGGCATTGCGTCGCATCTCAAGATATCGCTTTTCTTGGCTAATAGGGTCCTCAACTAACACCATTTTCGACCGGTCCTTCACCCCAGACATGTCGAGGAAAGCCTTCGAGTCCCTCTCCTTGTCTTTGAATATCAATTTCTGATCTTGATGGTGCAAACCAGTCGGTCCAACCAACATTTTCTTCAAATCCCCTGCATAATAAAAATTACACAATTTTACACACCATAAGTAATTAACAACTACTCGAACATAAATTTCTCAATTCCAATTCCAAAGTGTAATTTGCATGATGCTAAAAATACCATTTTAGAAACACAAAAAAGTTACAAAATTGAGAATAAAATTTACCAAAAGAAGATTGAGCGCTGATGCTGATTTCATGGTAAATTGACCCATATTTGACCCGAACCCGAATTGTCGGTGGAGGCACCGAGTTCCGATCAGAGTCCGGATTCCGTTTCTGAACCAGCATTCCTCCCGGTCTGAGCTCCCACTCTCCCTGCCCCGAGTCAGCTCCGCCGCCGCCTGAGCTTCCATTCAACTCGGCCAGTGACACCCCTGTAATCTTGGTCTTCATCCTCATCATTTTTACTCTCTAATTTTCCACGAGAGATCTCTCAGGTTTTTTATCTACTTCACAAAATTAGAAACAACCCAATTGAGAGAAAGGCTTGTAGAACAAAACCCTTGTTTCAGAATTCTCAGGCTCTGACCCCAGAAGCATCACACCAACCGCTGAAAAGCCATAGCTTTAATGGCTTCTTGAGAAAGAAATAAACCCAACAACTCATTCACCTGTAAAGTTCAAGCCTTGCGCTAGAAGATAGAAACATGGAAAGGTTTACTGAACCGGGTCCAACACGGAACCCACCAGGACTCAGATCTTCAGCCAAAAAATGCAGACTAAACTCAAACACAGGAGAAAATTTTCCCGGAAAACAGTAATTTTCCCGAGAAAACAAAATGAACCAAGTAAGCTAAACCCCGAGATTTCCCAAAGTGGTGCCGGGAAAATCAATGCGAAATCAGAACCTAATAATCTGATAATTTTGGTTCTTTTTTTTTTTTTTTTTTTCTTCTGGTTCTGGAGAACTCGAGGAGGAGGAAGAGGGAGAGGAGGAAAAATAAATAAATAAATAAAAAAGAGTATAAGAAACAAGTAGGAAGCCAGCTAGCCTACTGAGCTGTTGGAACCACATTATTCTACATCTGCATGTATATATGATCAAATTATAGGCACATATAATTATGCGTAAATAATAATTTACTTAATTTATTTTACAAAAATAATTGTAAAAAAATAAATACGAAAAAAGAAAGTGAAAAAAGCCGCCAAAGTTCCTGTAAAAATAAAACACGGCAACGAAATTTGGGTACAGAGAACTGGGTTGTCTTCCTGTACCTCCAGACTTTGGATAAAAAATGAGAATTGTTATCAACGTTTTAAAAATTTTATTTAGCATTTTAAATTTTCTATAATTAGAAAGAAAAATACATTTATGAGGAGTGTTAATAACAATTTCTTAAAAAATAATCGTACTGTGTTTTATGTTTCGACACGTGTTTGTATCGGGGTACTTTGGAAACTAAATGGCGACGTAATCATTGTGTTGCTAATTCTGGTGGGTTTAAAATCAACACGTAGAAGATTAACGTGGAGGGTCGGCACTGACTTTGGGGTTAAACCGTGGGTGCGTAGTAATTAAGGGTTGCCGCACACGTGTTTCAACCTTTCCGTTTATTTATTTTTGTATTTTTGGTTGTGCATTTCTGAAATATGTTTTTGTTTTTCCAAAACTCGGTTCTTATGCCTAGTATTATATACATATATATTCCACCATTGCAATCGAGCATTGTTATGATATTAGACTATGTTTGTTACACCTTTTTAAGTAGAACTAACTTAGCTAGAATTAGTGTTTTATGTTGAACTAACGTTTTATGATATTAAACGGGATTCGCACGAACTAAGAACGTCATTGATACGGTGTTAACAATCTTGTTGGTCAACGGAGGATTGCTAAGGAGCCCTCAAATCCCACCTTCTCCTTCCCCTTCTCACATCTGCAGCATTTGTGGCTCCCATTCTCCAATCACCAAATTAGTCAATTTTCTCGTTGGATTTTAAGTCAGACCAGAATCTAAACGAATTTTTTTCTCTGTCTCCGTTGTCTTCGTGTTTCTACATAGAGGAAATCGTGCAGCTTTACGACATGGTATTTTTGGAGCTCGTGTTCAATTCGAAGCTCATCGTCACCTATCTCACTATCATCGCAAAATGGGTATTTGTATTTTGGGTTTCAATTTCTCTACAACTCAGGTGTGATTTGCTTTAGAAAGCCATGACTTTTTCAATCATCTTCAGACTGTTAATATAATGGATTAGAATCCCTCTAATTAAGCCACAAAAACCCCTTTCCTTTTCATAGGTGGTTGTGATTTGTGTGAGAGAAAAGTGATTGTGGTGGCTGGCAGGGGGAGGGGTTGAGGTTTTTTTATATGTTTTTAAAGGCAAAATAAATAGTAATTTGTGACTTTGTTCGACAATGCATCAAATATTTCACAATTTTAATATTTATGAATCCAAGCGAAGTCAATCCAGTTTAATTTTTATAACTAGTCCAGTATAAGATAGTCCACCTGAACAAACAGAAATTTAGAGTACTAGTTTACGATTTTCGGAGTATAGATTGATTTAATAGCACCATAACTAGCGTGGTAGACAACCTTGGCTCATGCTCATTTCATAACTAGGTTGGGTCATGCTCATAATTATGGTATCAATCAAGATAAATAACCTTAGCATGCATTTTCCACAACACGTAAATTACCATTTACATCTCCATATTTTTTTCCGCGTGAAGTAGGATGTGTAAATATTGATATTGTTTCCTTTGTTTGTCATATTTTACTTGGATTTCAACCCAGACGTGATTTTAGGTTATTAAACAAAGATTTCGGGGCATTTTTTTGGAAAATCTTTAGTTGATTACAAATATAATTTAATTGTTACTAGTGTTATTTGAGTTAAACTAGTTTTAAGCAGAGTAAAAGTTAAAACAAATTCATATGAGAACTTGAACCCAAAAAAAAAAAAAAATCATATGAGAACAACTGAAAAAGACTTATCTTCCCTAAAATTATATGTATTTTTTTAGTATACACTTGACTAATTATGCAAATAGAGAAACCCAGTGTGATATATAATTTCATATATAATAGTCTTTGGGCATCTCTTTTGCCATTTTTAATTTTGAACCCAATAAAACACCTAATTCCACATAACTTTGGAAGAAAATGGACAAAGACTAATCACCGTAAAATAATAAACCGGACCAGATCAAAGTCTTTTTCTAAATTTTTCTTCTAGAAGTTGAATATTGAATATTGTATATTTCTTTTAATAACGATACTATTTATATCAAGGGAGTGTGAAATTAAGATAAGTCTCATTATGAGTCACAATAATTTGCTTTAAATACACATTTGACGAGAATCGAATTTAAAATCTCTCAATTACAAGTAAAGAAAAATATCATTAATCATTGTTATAAAAAGCAAATGTTTTGTATTTTAAAAGTATCAAAAATAGTAAAAACCTTAAAAAAAATTAATAATAATTTACGCCACAATGAAATGCCACCGTCGCACCGACACTCCCCTACATGCAAGCCAACACGGGGGAGTTATATGACACGTTGCGAACTGTAAGCCATACAAAGAGTCGAAGCCAAGTATGAACCGTGCGATTTGTTAAAGTTAGGAGTCTATGCATGCGTGGCTCGATGGGGACGGGGCAACCTTCGACAGATAACCTCCCTCTAATTACACGATTATCTTAAAATTTGTCCCTCTTTTTTTCTGATTGAAAACTCTCTCCCATTAACTAATCTGTCTGCCCCTACACCAACAACCCAAAAAAAAAAAAAAAAAAAAAAACATCTGTGCCTATCATATTATGTTTTTTTTTCTTTTTTTAATTATTATTATTTTTATCAAAAGCTTATTCTATTTTGTAAGGTAAGTTATATGAATCTCAAATCATCATCGTATTCAGTTTTGCGTCAAATCTTTCGTTAGTTTCAAGCACATCATATCTTTTCTTATAGTCTCTTCCCAACTCTTCATCTACTCATTTTGCCATGAGCCTTCGTCTCGTAGTCGCATCTTTTAACCTAAACATTTGTATGTGTCTTCGGTTCACGTGTTCAAACTGTTTAAACCGATTTTCTATCATCTTATCTTCAATGGCGGCCACTTCTTCTTTACCTCAAATATCCTCATTCTTAGGGCTGGTTTGGTATTGCTGTGCTTTGAAAAAAAGCTGATTCTGCTGTGCTATGAGAATAAGCGACTGTGAAATAAAGCAACAGAGTGTTTGGTAAACTTTTTTGTAAAAGTGCTTTTGAAAAAATAAAAACAGTATTATAGTGTTTGGTAAACTTTTATGTAAAACAGATGTGAAAAAAAGCCAATTTTTCAAAGCTGGGTTTTGCAGCTTCTTTGTTTTTGGCTTTTTTTCATCCAAAACTGTGAAAAAAAGATGAAGCTGAATGTTTACCAAACACAAAAACAGCTCCTAGCTTTTTTTGATACCAGCTTTTTTCAGAATCACCTCAGTACCAAACCAGGTCTTAATCATATCATTTCTCGTGTCCCCACATATCCATCAAAGCATTCTTATTTTGGATACAATTGTTTTCTCCATGTCTTGGTTTTTGATCCCCTAACATTATGTGCCATAAAACATTGTTGGCCTTATTATCATCCTGTAATTTTTTTTTCCTTGAGTTTTAGTAGCATGCGACAGTTGCACAACATACTCATAAACTCTTCCACACCATCCATCCTAATTAAAACAAATAATAATTAGTTGAATTATTGTAATTTTCTTTATATTTTTTGGTTTTGGAAGTAGCATCGAATAAAGAGTATTTTTAATATGAATAAACTTTCCAATGAGTATTTTTAATATAAATAAACTCAATTTTAATTCATAGTCTTGTCTTTGATTGGGGACAGGATACCGACCATTTGGTGTATGGAATTTGGGTCATCGGCCGTCAGGGACTGCCTTTTGCACGGCCTCGCAGTGGTTCTATAGACTTTCTGTGGGGCTGATGTCAATCTGTGAGGCACGTGACATCCAGACAGACACAGACATCTTGTTCTTGTTATTGTTGCTTGTGTGTGTTTTAAAACAAGAGTTAATTATATTTTTAACTTGCATGGCTTCGTTGGAAAAAGATTTTATGTCCACTGATTTGAGAAATTTTAATATAAGAAGAATATAATTGAGTGAGATTTGAGCATAAACTATTTCTCCATTAGGATATGTCGAAGTTTTTATTTTATGGTGAGAATTTGTTTTCGTGGGTATTCTTTACTTTTTGTCTTTTATGTGCTCCTTAATTATTTTCAAGTTGTGAATATTTAACTAAGATTATACTCTTGTTCTTAATTTTTGTGTTTGGGTTTGAACTCTTCTTTGGCTATCGTTGGTACTATCTTACAACATTTGAATAAAACATTTTATTTTAAAAAAAAATATCAACAACATAACCATTTATGTTTGGAGTGTAAATACGTTCTACCTCATAATTTAATAAGTAAATTAAAAGAGGGTTTATCTTGACAATTGACCAGATAGACAAATAGTAGGGACAAAGGCAAAAGAGCATAAACCTACCCTAAATAGTGATAGAAGTTAATAAAAAAGTTAAAAGCATAGAACACCCAGTTACATGTGTAACCAGAAGCCAACCCTAGAATAATTCGAGATATGGGGAGGCCACATTTGGATCTTCTTGAGGAAATAGTTGGTCAGCTTGTAGATTCAAAAATGTTATCAAACTATTAATTCTAAGAGCGTTTAATTTATATCAGCGTGAAGTAATAGTAAATTTCTCGTTATTAAACTTATTATTTATTATTTATGCAATTAATTACTTTAATATTCTACTTAACGACAAACTTTTTTATTTATTATTTATGTAATTAATTACTTTTTTGCAACATATTAAGCAGCTATATATATATATTTCGACCTGTATAAATCTGTGGCTTGGATGACCTAGCAAGTAATCATTTTTAAAGCAACAGCATAGACTCATTGAGAAAAGATAAACAAAAGCTCAGTACACAAAAGGGCTGGGCCAGAACCAGCAAACTTAAACGCTACAATCTGATAACAAGACATCAAGTGGACGTCATGAGGTTCCTCAAATCACACTCACAATTGAACAAGAAAGGGTATAGTTGAATATCAGAGTACGTAACGAATAAGACTACAAGACTCGAAGATTATTATTAAACAAATAAGAATGCCGAAATGGCTACAGAACATCAAGAACCTACATCGTAACTAATTTGTTATTCATACTAAACTATAAGTTATACTTATAGAGACCAAAATCTAGAAACCCTAATTCGGATGGGCTAAGCCCATATACTAAACTAACAAGCAAGCTCAAATAATCATAATACTAATATTTTCCAACAAGTTTAGCGTGTGAGACGGTGAGCAGCCTCAAAATCTGGCAATGCATGGGCAGCAGTAGCTTCAATGATATCAAACAGCAAGGCCTTCGAGCCTTTCACAGTGCGTCCGATCAGAGACGTTTTGGTAGGACCCTTTTGCGATGCTAAAATAATCTTAGAGTGAATCATTCTCCAGTATAAAATTTTGTGGACCCATATGCTTTGACAATAATAGCCCCTCACGAGCCGCAAGAGCTTCAATATGAAGACGCGAAGAGACATACTCAAACACCAAGGTGCAAGCAGCAACAAACTGCCCAAATTAGGCCTCGCATGAAACCCTAGGTTGGTGGTGTTCCAAATTAGATGGAGGCACGTGGAAAGTGCATGTGTCTAAAGTCTAAACTCTCATCATTTTTACTAACTGGAATGATTTGGGTTTCATAAAACCCTACTAATACGAGAAGTTAAAGTAAATCTTACGTTTTAAGTGAAGTTCCATTTTTCTTAAACCCTACTACTTGAGAGATTTTTTAATGTGTTTTGGACACGAAGCAGTACGCTACATGTTATTATATAATTAAAGGGACATTTAAAAAAAGAATTCCCCCAATCGTATAATTACATGTGATGTACACACTGAGTTTCACTGAAAATTTTCTCCTACTACTAACAAAAGGGTTCATTTTTTTAAATATAAAAGCATAGTTTTTGTATAAAGAAAGAGCATCTGATCCCTAATTGTGTTATATATGAAGAGAGAGGATTTCAGGAAATCAAAGGATGGTGGAAGGTCTCTTTAATGGTTAGTTAGGCCTCAATATGAAAACAAAATCCAACAACTGAGAAATAAAACAATTGAATGCCAGGCTTGTTCTATATTGACTGCTCGAAACATCCTTGGTTTTGGTTCCGGATAATGGCATTGTGTTGGAAAATGATGGGGCACTGGATTTGCACCTCACTCGCAAGCAAGCAAAAATGCTGGCATTGGCATGCCCTAAAATGCTTGCTACAGAATGCAATCTCTCCTTCCTGCATGCCAACTGAGCATCTCCAAAAGTCTAGTTAAATGAGGGATTTTGGTTACTTTAACAAAAGAATGCTGATAAATCAAGTTTCAACATGCTAGCTAAATGATTAGTTATTTTAACTTTGTAAACAGCAACTAGCTAAATTTAGTTAGGAGGAGAGAAAGTTAAATTTTTGCTAAACAATAAAAATTATAAAATTGCATTGTTTGTAGGCTTCAAGGGAAGAAAAAGGGATTGGATTATTAAGTTTAAGAAAAAATAATATTAAATCTTTTAACTTAAGTTAAAATAGTTAGTATTTTCGGAAGTGGTGGCTAGCCAAGTTAATATTTAGGTCCATTTACTGCTACGATAATAAAAATTTTGCTAATATTGTTGGAGATGCTACACGCAATGAGTTGCCAGTTCTGACTAATTTTCATATTGGCCTGATTTTGACGGTGTGAAAGTCAAGTTTTGTGGTGAGCTATCAAATTCTAACACCTCAAAATTCAAGACTACATTTTCATTTTTTTTTGGGTGTTTTCTTAATTTAATGATATATATACACAAGTTTGAGATTTGGGTCAAGCCATATGATAGGTTAGTCATACATGAGATTTAGTATCAAATTCACTATTCATGAAAGTTGAACTTAAAATCTCGGGTAATGTTACGTAGATTAATTTGTAGACTAAACTTGTAAATTAAATGATGTGTCACCAATAGAAACAAGCACGTTAATCAACACTTAAGTAATAATTTAATTATCAACTTTCATGCTTTATTAGTTTACAAAATTTAATCTACACATTTAGTAGTATTACCTTAAAATATCTTATTCGTAATTTATAAGTGAAAATAAATACCATTGAACTATAATTTTATTTGACTTTTTTTGATGTTATGATATAAAAAAGTGTAAAGTGGGAGATAATCATGTTGGCATAATGTCATCTTTTTTTAAGGAACATCATCAATGAAGAATGAAAGTGCAATTGGGCTAGGCCTTGTGTCCCTCATTAGCCCTCTTTTAGGATAATAATCATTTGATTCTTTGTTTAATTGGGTTGAATATTAGGTTAATTATGATGGATCTTAAATCCACACGTCCCGACTCAATTCTACGTGTTAGTTTCTAGTTAAAAAGTCAAAACTTTAAAATATCTCATAAAAATGTAAAAAAATAAAAAAGAAAGAAAGAAAGAATTACCTGTCACTAGCTTTAGTCGCTGGTCAGAATTACCAAATGAGCCTTTTTTTTTTCTTTAATCTATTACAGTGGGAGTGGGTCACAAGAATTTCTAGTAATATCAATAGAACTTAATAAGTTAATCCTACGCTAAGAAATTAATTAGGAAGTCTAGGTTAATATTTTAAGAAAACCAACATGCAAAGCAATGTAAATTTTTGTAAAACTGTCATAATGTTACGTATTGTTGTTAATTTCATAATGTTACAATATATTTTTATTTATTTAGTGGGTCACAAGAATTTCTAGTAATATCAATAGAACTTAACAAGTTAATCCTACGCTAAGAAATTAATTAGGAAGTCTAGGTTAATATTTTAAGAAAACCAACATGCAAAGCAATGTAAATTTTTGTAAAAGTGTCATAATGTTGCGTATTGTTGTTAATTTCATAATGTTATAATATATTTTTATTTATTTATTTATTAAAAAAAAAATCTTAAATCAACTCAACCTACAAATTTACAAGTCTGTTTGAAAAATAATGTATAGTGACATCATTGACCCTATGGTTGCATTCTTAGTTTATTACAGGTCAGCACTCCCCATCCAATATATTCATCCTAAGCTAGCGGGAGCAATTGGGAAAACTCAGCACACATAATAACGGGTGTATTTCTACTCACCGTCCTCAAGTGGTGGGTAATACTTATCATTCCTATTTATCATTGTTAGATAAGTTTAAATTTTAAAATTTGTCATCAAACGATGATAAATAAGACCATAAGCAAAAATCTTCCCCATGATAATAGGGGGAAAGAATTCGACAAATATACAGCAAATGTGCAGATAAAAACGGAAACATGTGGAAACCAAAAAAATAAAATGTTGCTTGGTTCCAGAGACACATGCGCAAACATGCATGGCCCCAAAAAAAAAAAGCACAAATCGAAACATGCATACCTGTTTCGGAAAAAAAAAAACTTGCATAACTGTCAATGTAACAATTTTTGTCACACATTTCCCTCCAGACAAAACCAATCCAACAAAACATAAAACCTTATCTTTGAGAAACCAAACAAAATGGCTAGGCCAAAATCCTTATCTTTTACTTTGGGAATTGCTGAACTGAGAAAGTAGCCATGGCAGCGCTGAGCTGCAAATTTCATCACCCTATGGTCTGCAAGAATTATCGACATGCCAAAGCAAAACCCTCCATCTTTTGCTCAATGAAGCCGTCGCAAAACAACATCAAGGTGTTTAATTATATATTAATCGGGATTATATTAAAAATTAAACGATGTTTTTTTGCTAATACCTGATCTCCATGTCTTGAAATAGGTAATTATAAACGGAGCAGCGAAGGAAATCGGAAGGGCGGCTGTAGTTGCAGTGACCAGAGCTAGAGGAATGGAGGTGGCTGGTGCAGTGGACAATTATCTAGTAGGAGAAGATATTGGGAAGGTATTTTCATTCATTTCTTACTACATTGTACTTTTTAAACATATGAGGATATTTGATTTTTCCTTGTAACAAAATTAGGTGTGTGACATGGAAGAGCCTCTGGAAATACCGATAACTAACGATCTCACGATGGTCTTAGGTTCCATTTCACAGGTAACAAACTCAACGGTTGAATATTAATAAGCATATACATGCGTGTGATTATTCTGTCAATGCTTCTCAATCTTGCGTGAAAATTGGCAGTCCAAAGCATTGGGAGTAGTTGTTGATTTCACTGAGCCTTCGAAAGTCTATGACAATGTTAAACAGGTAATGTTCAACTACATTCATGTAGTATACATGATACATTAAAAACCCTGATTCTGTTTTCAAATTTGATTGATTATGTCCCTACTAGCAGGCAACAGCATTTGGCATGAGAAGTGTCGTTTATGTGCCGAAAATTAAATTAGATACAGTATCAGCATTATCTGCGTTATGTGACAAAGCCAGCATGGTGAGCACAGGGTGAGATGTACTTCATACAATAAGTTTTCAGAAGTTCTTTTGCTTTTCTTCCTCCTTTATCACAGAATTAAACCATACATTTGTCACTGATGTGTAGCTGCAACTGTGTTTAGGGTTGTCTTGTTGCGCCAACTCTGTCCATTGGATCGATACTCCTCCAACAAGCTGCAATTTCAGCATCCTTCCACTACAACAATGTAGAAATTGTGGAATCAAGAGCATCTGCAATGGTAAATTTGGTTCCTCATCCGTTAAAAATGGCAAACTCTCACTATCTTATATGTATGAAACCATATTACATATATATATATATATATATATGTATATCTCTTAATGTGCCGATAGCTGTTTTCCCTTGAATATGTAACATCAGAAGCCTAGATATCCTACACAAGAAAATAATATGCTAAAGTTGCCCTTGGTAAACAGGATTTTCCATCATCAGATGCAACCCAAATAGCCAACAACCTGTCTAACCTTGGCCAAATCTACAACAGAGAAGATATTGCAACCGATGTTCGAGTAAGCTCAAGTACAATTTTTAGTCTATCGGTTCTAGTTTTATCCCATGGACTGGAACTCATTACTATATTTTTATCGTACGTGCATAAGGCAAGGGGCCAAGTTCTGGGAGACGACGGAGTTCGAGTGCATAGCTTAGTCCTTCCCGGGCTCCCGGCTAGCACAACAGTCCATTTTTCTCGTCTCGGAGAGGTTTACTCTCTGAAACATGACATCACAGATGTGCAATGTCTGATGCCAGGCCTCCTCTTAGCAATCAGAAAGATTGTGCGCATTAAGGTAACCAATTTATACATTTCTATCGCATCGCATCTCTTAAAAATTTTCTAGTACATATCCTGCTTCAACCGGATCACCGATTAATATCTCTTCTGTCTTTGTTTCTTTACTGCAGAACCTGGTGTATGGCTTGGAGAAATTTTTATGAACCTTCAGTCTCATTGATGTTAAACTCAACCACATACTTTCGACTCCCTTGTAACTTAGAAAAGAATGAAGATCGATTTTGTTAACTATCTTTATTGCGTTATGCTCCATCGCTCGTAGAAATCGGGACTGTCAGCATGAACAACTAACGGAGAAGTTATAAACTAGCCAAAATCGACAAGAAAAATAAAAACTAGTTGGAACGACGGAGATGTTATAGTGTGATACCGTAGTACCACGAGGCAATGGCCAATATGTGAAAGAGTAAAATGACCAGCTGATTTTGTTTGGGAGTCAAGGCTGCCATCGAGCAACAGCCTCTACTTCAGCTAGGCAAAACTTGTCCGAAAAGATTTGGCCAGCGAGTATGCACCGTTGATCAAGTCCACGGACGGCCAGCACGCTTTATGGGAATGTTATTTGCATGAACAAGGCAGCTGGGTTAATTACCATGTGGGTGATTTTGTTGTCGACAAGCCTAAAATGCCAATCAAGATCAAATTTTCGAAGGTCCAGGTTGATTGTACACACACCAAAGGTGGTCTCTGCTTGGACTCGGTGTTAATAACCCCTAACAAGTCGAGAGAATGACATACATACATGTGATAACTATTATTTGGAGAGATTTTTCGGTGTGCCTTGAACACTAGCATATACGTTATATGTTATTATACAAATTGAGGGTACCTGAAAAAAAAAAAAAAGTTCACTCATATAATAATGTATGGCGAACCACTCTGTGTTCCCAGCACATTGAAAAATCTTATTTGGAGAAGCAACCCTAACCAAAAGCATGCAATTTGTTGTGTTTGGCATCTTAATTTAGTGGGTAAGTGGGTCAGATAACATGTTTACATTTGAAGCAAAGTAGTGTGCATTTGTCTTTTCCATATTCTTTCGTGTTTAAATGTGAAGGGCTTCCCCAAAATAACGCATTGAAATGTCTTTTTCATATTCTCTTGGCCTTTAACATGATGCTCTAAATCAATAATATAATGTCACGTAAAGACGCTGACACATAAACAGGGAATGTATTTCATATAAGTTATCCTCCTATCTTTTGGCATCACGTCAAAGTTCACCAAATTATGTATTGAATAGGATCATACGGATGCCTAAAAGTAATACCAATTCGGTCTACCGGAGTGATGTAGCACAATGTGACGGGTCATTTGTGAGTAATCGCACTTGGGGTCAACGAATACGCTAGAAAAACCGCTTCAGCATAACGTAAATGGTCGAAGACTTAAGAAACAAGAAGAAAAACAGGTAAAAGATCATATAACTGGGAAATTTAAAGCTCTTGTCAGACTTCTTTTGAATCCAATAGATTACACTTGCAAGACATGGAGACACATAAAACCCTCAAGAAACACTAAAATTCCTACTCAACTGAACTACTAGAGTACAAGTGCACACTGTCGCAACGATACTGAGACCAAAGCGAAAAAGAAAGGGGGTAGAAAACAGCCTTTAAATTGTCCTGTACAAAGATAAATCCCGGCCACATACCCAATGGGAGCCAATTTAGGCCAAATTATGTTACCGTCATGCCTTCCAGCCATACATGTTATCGTCAAGATTGCTGTTAAAAAAACCGTTCTCTGTGAATTCACGGGCAATGTCTTGTACCAGATCCTCTTGCAAGTGAAGGTTTGAGGGTAAATCCGGGGCTCTTTGGTTGTATGTGTTGTTACCACCACCACCTGTGGAATTGTCGCTGTTTGCAGTGGCTTTGAAGCTGTTATTCCTGCTTGGAGCAGGGCCGTGACTACCAGACACATTGGAGGTGGATGGTGCTGCCGCTGGATTGTTGCCTCCAAAACTCACTCCATTCCTCCCAACACTCCCATTTGCACTTGGACTGGGAAGAGATTGTTGTCCTCCTCCCCCGCTGTTATTGGACATCTCCTGTAGCAGTTGCTGGATCATCTGTTGCTGCAAGGCCTGATTACCCTGGGAGCCAGTTGAATGAGCTTGTTGTAGCAAGCTATTGGAACTAAGTGACCGCTGCTGCAGCTGCTGTGGCTGTCGTGAGGGTAGATGGGGACTTGACAAGGCACTACCAGGTAAGTTCTGCATGGATCCCGGTATTAATGCGGCGGCACCTTGGAATGTTGATGATGGGCTGTGGTTGGAATTATTGAAGGAAGAAGATGCCTCCTGTTGAAGAGAGTTTGCATTTGAATTCACAGAGTTCTGTCTCAAAAGCAGATTCTGGTAAGCGGCATGCGCTGAACCGCTCATAGCTCCACGACCGACCATCTGATGGTGGTTGTTCATTTGGTTATTCAGTCCAGGATGCAATGCCATTAGCTTATTGAGTGTGTTCCTGTCAGTGGGCAAACCCTGAGCACTTGCTAACTGCTCCATTTCCTGCATCTTTTGCATCTGGAGCTTGGCTGCGGTGGCATGCCGAGGATAAACCTTCAAGCCCTCTGCAATTGTCAACATAAGTTCACCGAGAAAACAAATCATTATAAAAACTGTGTCATAATAGTTGCTAGATAATTTAATATGCATCAATGGATGGATAAGAAACAACCGAGAAAACAAAAAACAAGCCAAGTACCCAATTCTTCACCACATTAAAGATTGACTTGAATTAAAAAAATAAAGGCCATAATGAACTAAAGAAACAATGACGAAACTACTTCCTACAGGAAAAATAGGCAGGAGCAGACAGGTCCAGTGACAGGAGAATGTTAGAGGCTGCATCTCCATGAATATAATCAGCCATAATAGTCGATGCATATTAGCCCAAAACTGAAGCTTCCACAAGATAATGCTTTACTCAGTGAATGACTTGATAAAGATACAAACAGTAGCAAGTAGGAGATCAGTTGGGTAATCGTGTCATGGTTTGTTTAAGAAGCTGTCTTAAGGTGGTGCTGGGATGTAAGTCAGAAGATGGTACCAACAATCAACTATCCATGCAAAGCAGCAGCATAGAGTTAGAAAATAACAATATGGGAAAAAGGGAAACTTACCAATTGGCCCAACTTTGTTCTCCCTGCAGAAGTCAACCAAGTCCTTCATGCTATTGACAACCTCTGAGATCTGTCAAAAGTTCAGAGTCAGCAACTAAGACAGAACTCGGAATAAGAGAATATAACTTAAATTCACTTCTTAGGTCAAAACTCATGTCCATAAATGCAATAGCATATACCTGCAAACACCTCACATATCTTTTAGAAAAACCCAAGTCATTCAACGACTGCAACTCCAAACTCTTTGCTAGCTGCCGTCCAGCTGTCAGCACCCTGGAGAAAGCAATCAACATCAGTGCAGCCCTTCAGAATCAAAGTCTAATACCCAAGAATTCAACAAAAGCAGTTCACTGATAGATTCATAAACTCACATATTGCTGTTTGTTTGTAGATCCTGCTGAGAAATCCCATCAGATCCACTTTCAGCTATTGTGCTTTGGCATTTCTGAGCAACTTGAACCAACTGATTCACCTGGAGAAAAAGTATGCTTCATAAGTGCAAGGCATAAAGTCTGCCCAATTTAACCTACTTTTATTTTCTGCTAAAATTTTGGTCTGTTTAATTAAATTGAATCACTGACCAAAAGAACACAAAGATATTAGGAATGTTAGCGCTACTACCAAAATCAAACTAAGATGGTTCACTGGAAAACAATCAGATCAAGGAATAACACCAGTACAACCAATTTAACGTGTCTTAGTAGATTCCCAAGCAACCTTTATACAAACATAACAGTCTAAGAGTTAAACTGTCTTTCTACGGTTCCAGAATTGCACATTTCTCATAACACATGAATTAAATCACTGGATATCACTACCAGTCATCATATTCTCACAATTACCGAACTCAAAACTGAGAGGTAAGGTAACAATCAAAATTAACGATTAGAATGAGAAAATTGCTTCTGGCTAATGCATCTATCCAGTTTAATGCATCAGTCAACCAACCAAATAAGAGGAAAACTTAAATTAAGGCACACATAAACCAGTACCTGTGGAGCAACCAACCTACGAGGAAGAAGTTCTTCATGTCGTCTTGCACAGAATTCCCAAGACAATATCTAGTAAAAGCATAATGTAAAAGGTTAGAAGCAGGTTATTTTCCAAGGCACAGAAACTAAAAGCCAAAATTAAGAATTTGTTCTCTTACCTTTAAATCTTGTGTAAATATGATACGAAGCTGACCCTCCCGAACAACACGAAGTTGCTCATATACACTCTCTTGAACTGCTTTCCCATACTCCAACATCATCACACCAGAAGGAAATCTACCTTCACGTGGCAAGTCCAAGAATAAAAGCTCATCGATGACTCCACTGCCAAATTTGATCTCATTAAGTCTGGGAAGCACTTCAAATGTTGCCTCTGTAACCATGAAAAGGAACTAGTTGGTTAGTTTCAGTTTACCAAATTATAAATATATCAAACATTGGAGGTGAGACCACAGAGATTTCTATATATTTCTAAGTTACTTTGGCACAAAAAAGTTTTTCAGCAGACTATTGATTAAAAAATGATAGACTGTAAGAGGCATTAGAGGGTAGAAACCTCAAAATAAAATGATGGTAATGTCCATCTACACGGAAAAAGCATAAAACTTGGAGAAAGAAGCACCTTAAGACAAATAAAAAGCAAAAACTAATTGTCCCCCAAGACCGTTGGTCTAGTGTTGTAACCCTTGACAAAGTACAAATCAATAAAGCTTCAGATTTTCTTACCAAAACCCCTTCCAGATTTAGAACCACAAATGTCGCATTGCCAAGCGTCCTGACCAAAAAGAAAGCAAATATTCACATGTACGAACCGTTGACATATGTTCAATCAGGCAGATAATATAAACACAAATTAACTATGAAGTTATAAAAATAGGAGTATCATTTGTAGGGACAGAGTCACTTATGATTATATGAGAAACAATTTAAATAACTGGACAGAAGAGTTAATTAACACGTATACTAACCATAGCAGCCTGAGGGAAAACACCAAGTGCGTGATGCCCAACATTATCATATAATGACAAGCACCATCTTTTCTTAGCACGAGGAGAGTAATACTCTGTAACAAACTTCCTCCAATAAGCAATACTATTGTCCTGTCAACAAAATTCACACATCATTAGATAAACAATGCTGACGGATAGATACTCAAAGGATAGGAACGTCTAAATAAGATATTTGTAACGAAAAGAAAAGCATATCTACAAACCCAGTTGAAATGGAAATGAAGAGAGAAAAGAAACAGCACAATGAAGTGCATTAAACAAGGGAACTCACAGCAGGCCGTTGCCGCTGATGATATAAATATTGCATCAGCCTACGAGCACATACACCACTATCATAGGGACGCTTAATGGAAGATACTGGCTGCATTGATTGTTGAAATTGCTGTTGTCTCAACTGCTGCTGTTGTTGTTGCTGTTGCTGCTGCTGCAACTGGGCTCTCTGCAGTTGAGGCATTGACTGCAAAATCTGTTGCTGTTGCCGTAATCTCTGCTGGTGAAGCATGGCTTGTAACTGCTGGGGATTCCGGCCTTGGAATTGCATTGGATCCTGTCTTTGCAGTAACTGTTGTATCACTTGCTGCTGCAGAATATCTTCCTGCTTGATATCCAGACGGGGTTTTTTCTGGACATGGGCCAAATTGTTTGGATCCTGAATAAAAGTTCCAGGTACTCGTGCTCCCATGGGAAGGGAAACCTGGCCAGTTTGGGACGTTGGTAAAGAAGTAGCACTTGAAGCCCCTTGCTGCCGTTGGTTTTGGTGCAGCTGATTCTGCTGCATTTGTTGAGAATTCTGGTCATGCTGAGAATTCTGTTGCACTACAGAAGACCCATCCATAATCGATGACCCTGACATGCTAATATTGTTGGAAGAGAATGACATGGGCGATGCTGGTAAGCGCATGTATGACTCGTTATTGATGCTTGCACTTCTTTGCAAATGGGGACCTCCAGAAAATACAGAGTTTGCATCTGTGACCAAAGAACTTGCGCCAACACTCGGACCTGAGTTCGCCACACCGCTCAAAACTGCATTATTCATGTCCCCAGAAACCAGACCGAGATTTGAACGCCCAGTTCCAAGAATGGAATTAGAAGAGTTCCCGAAAGATGAGCTCAAGTGTGAGTTAACTGCAAGCTGAGACTGCCCATCCCCTTGGAAGAAAATTCCAGAACTTGGTGAAGACTGAGCTAATCCTCCAGCCACACGAGAAGGCACCATAGGAGGCACCGCACTTTGGTGGCCAGAGTCTAAGTAGCTCTCCAGAGCCAGGCCTGATAGTATTTTTACAATAATTAATATGCTCAGCCCACTCAATAGATACAAAAACAAAATAAACAAGGAACTCCTCTTAAAAAAAATATCTCAAAAATACAATATGGGCAGAGTCAACAATACAAATACATACAATTTCAGAACCCTCACCTCACTGTGTCAGTAATTTCACCAGTTATCCGATAAATATGCGACCCAAAAAGGTGCACGATATTTATTTTCTGTATAACCTTTCAACAATTTCTCATGGGATCTAAGATAAACAAGAGGAAACAACACTATCAGCAGTAGAACAAGAACTAAAAACATAAACCAAACTAAATTCCAAACCAATACCATCCAGATAAGTAAATTAAACACTTACAACGAACAAGAAACACGAAATCCAACCCAAACTAAAGCCCCTTAGGGTTCCAAAATGTTGATTTTCTAGTGAGCCCCACAAAAACCCTAATTTCCAACCAAGCTACCCATGAAACAATGACATAAGCTTATCAGCCCCGAACCCAGCAATTTCTAGATGATCTAAACCCAACCCAGTTCAACCGAACCGAAAATTAACAGAACACAATTGAAACAATCAAACATTTAGCTCAATCTTTATCAATTAAAATGATAATTACAGACTAAAGATCGAACTTAAAGCAGCTCCAGCTCAAATTTTGAACAAAATTAAACTAGTAAAACTCATAATTATGCAGAAAAACAGAAGATCGAGCAGCAGAAACGAAATTTCGAAGACCAAGTAGAACAAAAAATCAGTGAACTTTTTCCAGTCCAGAGATCGATCAGAGCATAATTTAATTAACCAAATTAATTAATCTGAACTAGAAGCAAAAATCAAACCAAAAAATTGAACAAGTAATCGAATTAGATAAATGCACGGCAGCTACGGACCTCAGGAATCGGGAGCTGTAAAAATCCGAAACGCTGCCTTACTTTGGAAACAAAAACCCGAAATTTGCAGAGAAATTTTAGAGTGAGAAAGAGAGAGGAAAGGAGTCGGAGGGCGCTGGTTATATACCTAGCGGGAATCGCAGAGGACGAGTGACCGGCTGCATCGGTGCCCTGCCCTACATCACCGGCTACGCTCGGTGAATCAAGGAACACGTGTTTCGTGATCGGTTGAGAATTGTGGTCGGTGAGAGATCGGGCGATGTCAACGCGAGGATTAAAGACACGTGGCGCAACCCGACTGGTTGTTTTCTAGGGCAATGAGGATATTACCTGGATTAGCCTGTTGAGCTCCGATGCGGTGCACCCGGTTGAGCGTGAGTTTGTCTACAGTCTTTGTCCTTCCCGGTAACGGAAACGAGGGCAAATGCGACAATTCGAAGGGTAATTAAAGAAATTGGGGACACGTGTGCGAATCGAATTGGGTGGATCTTTCCCATTCCAGTTGTGTGTGATTTTACCATATTGGTTAACGGATTGGAAAGATTTTTCAATGTGACCGTTACATGGGTAATTTACTATGTATGACTATATAAATAGTAGATATGTGTGTTAAAAAGTTAATAATTTAAAAAATAAAATTTCTCACTACTTACATAAAAATACGTGGTGTACTACTCGTATTCTCGTCACAACAAAAAAACCTTTCTACGGATAGAGACAGACCGTCTGCTTCTGCCACGTGTGGCTGACACGCACAATAGAACAAGGCCTCGTGTGGCTTATGTTCTGATTAATTTCGTTAAAAATTATGCATTGACTAATTTAATCCCGGGGACAGAAATACATGCGATGATGAATCCTAGGATTTTTTTTTTTTTTTTTTGTCAAAAAATCTTAGGATGTTTCAAGATGATGTTTCTTGCACAATATCATTATTTTTTTTACTACATAGATATTTTTACTAAAGAAATGAGAAATTCAGTTAAGTCACACAATTGATATCCTAATTTGGTATTGAATTTATCATTCAAGAGATTTGAACATAAGACCTCTTAATTCTTAATAAAGAAGAATATTATTAGACCGTATTACTGAGTAGTATTGCACAACATCATGGTAATTGCAAAAAGAATGAAACCAGTGTAGGTGAGGTGTCCTTTTTTCAAGGCCCAACAAAGTCAAGACTAGCGCCCAATATCAGCCCAACAAACTTTACTTGTTCTTATTATCTAATCATCGGTTATAAAGCTCAATCCGATGTAAGGAGAAATTTTTTATAAGTTTCAAAGGTGTGAAATTTTTTGTCATTCTATCGTACTGTACCATTATCATACCGTACCATATTGATTTTGTGCTTTTTTTTTTCAGCCAAACAATAATACTACGGTAATTGTACCAAACCAAAGATATTTGGTATAGTATATGACAACGATACTAGATTTTTTTCGTATCCAAAGTTGGTACGAATGTTTTGATACTGTAACAGTAACGAACTCATCTTTATTTGAAAAACAAGCCAGTACATCACATCACTTGTTATAGTATAAGCAAAATTTGAACCCTCCTTCAAAGAGTATATGTTGAATATATTTGAAATCGGAAGCACAAGCTACGAATATTTTTGGAACAAATTTCTACGTTTCTCGTGTTGGTTGATTCTCCATAAATTGAACAACCATATTTCATTAGGAGGAAAAAAAAAAAAATATACGAATATCATTTCTCGTTAAAATTGAAGAAGCCAACAGCCACAATAGGAAAAGAAAATTGCAGCGACATTTTTAGGACTAGAACATGACTTAAGATACAGTGGACGGGAGAACATAATATGGCAAACATGAGAAACAAATTGGATAAAGCCTTTTCAGAGCTTAAAAGGTCGCTCAATCCAAATCGTAGGTCGATTGGCGATGTGCATTAGGGTCGTAATATCTTCTTGGTAAGGTTGCGAAAAGCTTTGATCCTTGACGTTATACACACCAAAATCATGTGATTTCGAGGGTTGGAAAGGTCCTTGACTCATGTAATCATGGTTGAAGTATATGGGCTGACATCTTGAATATTTCGAAGCCGCCAAAGCTATTGAAGAGTTATCACCAACGAAGAGAGCAACATCACCCAAGTCGTATATTTCAGTCCGCTCACACTCGTGATACTCGAGTTCAAAAATTCTGAATTGATAAAGCCAATTGAATGCATACTATCGGGGACAAAGGTCCATGTTGTATCTTTACCAGGTCTAATAAAAGCCAATTGACAGCATACCTCGCGTATCACCACAACAATGTAATTGTCTGCACATCATACAGGGTCTGCTGAAAGTATAGCTTTGTAGGCAAAATAGTAGCTGATAGACGAAACCCAATTCTTCAATGGTGGAACACCGCCGATGAGTGGAGGAAGGCGAATGATGGAATTTTCTTTCTTTCTCGTCCCTTTAACCCTAAAGAAGGGATTAACCAGGGTTACTACAGAATCCTTGTCCACATATATCAACCATCCCTTTGAAGAGCCGCAGAATCGCACGTTCGGAACCTGTACGTGAAAATCAAGGACCTTATTCTGCATGGAATCGCACAACGATCGTGTGCCTCTTTTTGCAGTCTGAATCATCAAGAGCACTGGAGTTGTCACCTTAGCGCGTTCATCGTAGTTATGCTTTGCTACTGAATACCACCACTTACAAACAATGCTGAAACGCAAATAATCTTCTGGCGACTCCAATCTCTCTAAGACGGGATCTAAAAGGTGCTTATGCAAATTCTGCCAAACTACCGAAGCCATAGTTTCAGCTTTAGAAAACAAGAACATCTAACATCTTTTAATTGATCCAAATCAAAATGTGAGTATAAGATTGAGTATGAGAAATATGAGTGTGAGATGAGTATGAGAAATACTAACGTTCACATTTTTCTCTCGCTAATTTGATGAAACCAGGTAAATTCATACAAAAGACAAATTACAAGAAAGAAACACAATTGAAAATTCAAAAGAAAATTTTCATCATTACTACGGATCGGAGTGACCATGAAGATGTGTTTGCAACTGTTACAAACAAACTTGCCTACAGACTCATTCCTGTGAGCCACCTTTGCATGAGTTACAATTCCACCGTCTTTATTAAATTTTTTTCCACAATGGAAACACATAAATTTCTCAAAATCTTCGTGGACAAGCCGATTGTGTTTGTCCAAATCATCTCTGGTTGAGAACATATAAGACCACAGATAGTGCACTCAGCCAAGTTCAAAGAAACAAATATTAGAAAAGGAAAACAAAATAAAATGCATGAGAGAGAGGGAAAAGAAAATAAATGCATATCATATAAACAAACAACCTTGAACTTTTGGAATTTGTATTCAAGTAAAAAGAAACTAGATGTTTTAAGTTTTGAACCTAAGGATAAATGATATGTTGCTACCTTGCCTATTATATAGGCAGTATGCAAACTGATAGGATTTTTATCAGGCATGCAAATTGATAGGATTTTTATCACCTACAGGGATAAAAACATTTAAAAATACTTGCAAGAGTACAAGGTTATTGTAGTATAATTGCCTCAAGTAAGATCGTTCTCCACAGTGATTAATTTAAAAAGATCAAAGCGAAATCAATTCTCAACTAATTAATTAAAACAAAGTTTTTGAAAGAGGTGGTTTAATGACCTAAATTAAGAAAAATGAATTTAATTAAAAAGATTACTTTGCAACTTTAAAGAAGAAGAAAGAAACAATTTTTTAGAATTCCAAGTAAGAAAGTAGTAGGGTTCCGCCTTCACCCTAACAATTCTATATAATTCTTCTAATTATATATGACTTACGCATGTATATTTTGAAGGTTAGGTTTTCCTAAAATATGCCCTACTTGGAACCTCCAACATAGAACGTATATCTAACATGCAACTCGTCCGTGGCGTCCAGATCGAATGTAAACATGCAAGACTCATTAAGTTTTGTGAAAACTTTATGAAAAACCATATAAACCTTAAGACGTGTAGTCCATCCTAAGAAGTTACACATATTAACCACAAGAAGTCAGTGCTAATTTCAAGGACAACCCTCCGCCAAAATTGCATCAAATTACTTTTCTAAATATTCTAATGGTGGCCAATCATTAAGACAATTAGATAGTTTAAACCGGTGATTAATAATTCAAAACCTGCATGCATAATATCATAAGTAAATTAAAAAGAAACTACATATTCTTACTAAGGCTCGTGGCCTCGCCCTAGCAAACGGAAATTAGTTACGAACAATCATATAACAAAATATTATTAAAAACATGAATAGAAAACATCTTGAAAATAAACTTGAATCGTCAAAAGCTCTCTAAAGCCAAAGTGTGTGCGTTCTCCTCCTTATCTCCCTCTTAAACCCTAATGGCTAAAAAGCCTTATTTATACTACTACAAAATAAAACCCTACCTAGAAAAGGTCTTAGAATAAGACTAGGAAAGCAAATAAATTGAAATAAATTAGGAAACGTAATCCTAATTTAACTTGGAAATTCGCCCAAAATCATTCACAGCCACGTTTTGGACCCATATCAGCTTCAAAACTAGCCCAAAATAGCTATATTTAAAGCTTGAACTATTTTGAACACTTCTCTAGAAGGCCACGAACCCATCTAAGATCATCTTGGCCTCCAAAAACTGCACTAAAGCGCAAAAATGTCACTTTCCAGCAACGCGCTCTGCTCCTTTATTTCATCGCCATAAATAAACCGCTTCCGCTTGGTAGAAATTGCTGAAATTTTGACATGAATAAGTTGAGAGACATATGAATGTCCTCTAATTTGAATCACTCCAAAATTCGTCCGTTTCATCATCTTTTGCTCCAGAGGAAGTCGAATGTCCTATGTTGAAAATATAATGCAAAGTATCAAAATTCTACCAAGATAATTACCAAAATATACTAAGATTAGGGTAAAATATATGGTATAATATCGACTCATCAAATACCCTCAAACTTAGCTTTTTGCTTGTCCTAAAGCAAAACAAAACTCAAAAACGAATTAAAAACTAACAAACTAAAAAAAAACTTTATTAAAACTCAACTAAGACAAAAAATTTATCTTGAAGTTGCAATCCATAGAAAACGTTAAAAATTAGAACATCTTTCCAAAGTTCCAACTAATCCCACTACAGAGTCTAAGCCATTTAGAATCAATTAGAAAAGAATTCACAAACTTCTTTTGGTGTAAAGTGAACCAACATAGTTAAGGAGACTCGACTAAAACTCTTACCTCTCGTCCTTTAATTTCACACATACTAACTTCAAACATAACCTTTTTTTTTTCTTTCTCCGGTTTTTGCTCTTTTTCATTTTTTTTTTAGTAACAATAGTGGTCGTGTAATGTTAGTTCACTTAAATTTTCGATCCAACCCATGTAACGAGCTTCAGGTCAATAACTCCCAAACCACAAAAGGCTTTAGGTCACCAGGTGTAGAACACCCCTAATGACTTATTAACTCGAGCTGAAAAGGCTACGAAACCAACTAACCACTATGCTCCATGCCAAAACTCTACTGTTTTACACGAGAATTACTGTTGATCAGACATGACTGGCCCGGTTACTAAGCAAAGTCTCGGGTGGAACAATTATTACTTTTTATAGGATAATAACTAACTTTACTTTATTTAGAACAAAAATTAAAAATTACTTAGATTAAAAGTAAGTGTTTCAATCTCACTCCCTACAAACCATGTTGATGTGAATGCGCAAATTTTTAAAGTATAACTTATGAATTAGTGTCTAAGTAACGATAAACAGAAAATACTCTAATGTGGGATTAACCTTCACCATGTCCATTTGTTATAACGTTTAAAATAATCTATAAATATTAACTTAAAAATAATGAAAATTTTAAACTGACACAACAATTAAAAGTCTAAAATTTCTATTTCCCACTCTCAAACTTATTTCACACATTATCCTCAAGGTGTGAAAACAAATAAAAATAAGACACAAACATAAATCAATCGAGATAAATAAAGGAAATACCGAAATGAACCAAAACATAAAATAAGCAACGAAACAGCAGAAAATATAATAAAACAAATAAAATAGAAAAACAAAAAGAACAAGCTGACCTGGAGTCGAACTCGAGACCTGGAAGCATCATGAGTCATTGACCAACACCTGTAACACGTGTGTCAAACCCTCGCAGCTATATTTAATCCAGGTTTCAGCTTGCATTTGTCATTAAGCTCCAAAACCTCGAGCCCAGCGCCAAGAACCTCCATCTCTGCAAAACGAAGATCCAATCCGTCAAGTCAATTTCCTAGTGCACAACAAGGTAAATACCTCCCTTTTTCTTACAGATTTCATGACCAGAAGTCACATGAACTCCATTCTGATCTTGATGCATGGGCTCATTGATATGACGAAATTCTTTGATCTAATACTTGTATATGCTGTGCTTACAGGTTCAACCCAGAAGCGATGCAGAGGCCAAAAATTTCATAGATCCTCACGCCTTCGAAGGTAAAATTCATCACTGCAATTATTTGAGCCTGAACTTGCCAGATCTGTAAATGTGTTGCTTGTGCATGCCTAAAATATGAATTAGGTTACCCAAAATATGAATTAGGTTATGTCGCATAAATCTGTATAAAGTAGTGCTTTCTGATTTCAGTGCGTTCATGCATCAATGATTTTAGTCTACTATCTGCAAGCTCCAAATGCAAAAGATGCAGGAAATGGATCAATTAGCAAGTTCTCAGCGATTGCTTTGCCCACTGACGCGAACACTCTCAATAAGCTACGGGCATTGCATTATGGACTGAATAACCAAAAGAACAACCACCATCAGATGGTCAGTCATGAAACTACAAGCTGTGTGAGTTTCTTGTTTAATGCACTTCATTGGCCTTCTTTTCCTTTTTTTTTGTTCAGTCCCTTCATAGCTGGGATAATAGACATGGCTTCCTTTCTTTGAGAAATATACATTGTTTAGACGTTCTTATTTATTATCCTTTGTATTACCTTTCTTGAACATGTATTACTTAATACAATTATCTTAATTAGTATAGGTCTTTTAGACTAAATCACTAGAGGGAGAGAGAGTGAGGAAAGTTTTTGTGATCACTATCATTAAGTAGAGAATGACATCTCAAATTTTACTTTAATGATTTTAAGCATTGCTGCAACAAGTCCCGACAAACATAAAAGGGATTAGTTAATCAGAACCTTGAACACTTTGTTGGTATTTAACAGTTTACTAACTCAATACCAAAATATGTGGGTGATAAGTTTACAAACTCTATCATACCTCTTTCACTTTGCACTCTCAAATAAAATTGGACAAAGAAAGAAATAGAGAAAGGAGGGAAGCAACAAGCTTTGGCAAAACACTTGGACTTTGATATATGAAAAAAGGTTTACAAACTATTGGAATAAGAAAGCTTACAAGCTTCTTCACAATTGGAAGTGGGATTAGAATGTGATGGTTTACAATGCTTGAGAACTTGGGTATTTATAGCAAACCAAATGATTAAACTAAGATTATTTATTACCACACAAAACACATTAATTGCACCTAATAATTTTTATTCAACCATACCTAACATTGCCTAACTTTCAATGCCTAACTTTGACATTGATTTTCAACAATAGCAACCTATTTTGATTTGAATTTCCAACACACCTCCTCAAATCAAAACGCCTTCATTCCTAGCATTTCACGCAGTAGCCGGAATGTTTCAATTGGCAATGACTTTGTGAAGATGTCTGCCACTTGTTCCTTGGTGTGACAGTAGACAAGTTCAATTGTCTTTTGCTTCACATGGTCCCTTAGAAAATGGAACCTGGTATCAATGTGCTTGCTCCTTCCATGTTGAACAGGATTCTTTGCAAGTTTGATTGCAGACACGTTATCTACGTGAATCACAGTCGATTCCACTTGTGGATGACACACTGACTTCAAGAGATTTCTTAACCAAATTGCCTCACACACGGTTGAGGCTACAGCAACATACTCGGCTTCACATGATGACAAAGCAACAATTGATTGCTTCTTTGAAGTCCATGAGAAAGATGTTGATCCTAGAAAAAACACATAGCCAGTTGTGCTTTTTCTTTCATCTTGGTCACCTCCCCAATCACTATCTGAATAACCAAATAATTTTGCATCTTCACCAAAATTATAAAATAGACCATAGTTTAGAGTACCTCTTATGTACCTCAAAATTCTCTTGGCGGCCAGCCAATGAGACTCCCTTGGTGTTTCCATGTATCGACTCACGAGTCCAACACCATAAACTATATCAGATCTTGTGATTGTAAGGTACCTTAGGCTTCCAACGAGGCTTTTGTACACTGTTGAGTTTACAAACTCACCCTCTCCTCTTTTGGACAGCTTCAATCCAGTTGCGACTGGGGTATTGACAGTGTTGCACTTGTCCATATTGAACTTCTTCAATATGTCTCTCATGTACCTTTGTTGAGAGATGTAGATACCATCACTTTCTTGCTTTACTTCTATGCCAAGAAAGTATGACATTAATCCATTGTCAGTCATCTCGAATTCACTGAACATGGATTGCTTGAACTCATGGAACATTGCCTCATTGTTTCCTGTAAACAATAAATCATCTACATAGAGACAAATAATTAAGAACTCTCATTTTTCATCATTCTTCATGTAAACTGAATGCTCGTATGGACATTTCTGAAATCCATTTTGGTGAAGGTAGTTGTCGATCCTTGAGTTCCAAGCTCGTGGTGCTTGCTTGAGGCCGTACAAAACCTTCTTCAAACGATACACCTTATCTTCTTCTCCTTGTACTTGGAAGCCTTCCGGTTGTTCCACGTACACTTCTTCCTCAAGTACTCCATTAAGGAAGGCTGACTTGACATCTAGTTGATAAATTTTCCATTTATGATGTGCGGCAAGAGAGATTAGCAATCTTACCGTGTCAAGTCTCGCAACTGGAGCATAGACTTCATCATAGTCCACTCCATACTTCTGTTTGTAGCCTTTTGCTACAAGCCTTGATTTGTATCGATCCACACTCCCATCTGCAGTGCGTTTGATCTTGTAAACCCACTTGACACCAATAGCCTTCTGATTTGGTGGGAGCTTTGTCAGCTCCCAAGTGTCATTCTTCTCGATGGCATGGATCTCTTCTTCCATGGCTTTCTTCCAACAATCTTCTTCCACAGCTTCATTGAATGAGAAAGGCTCGTGGTCTGCATACAAGCAGAAAAGGTTGGTTTCTTCTTCTTCTTCTTGTCCATAAATCTCTGTGAGACTCCTTAACCTCACTGGAGTTGAGGAGCTGCTTTCCTCACTAGATGTAGGACCACTCCTTGCAATTCTGTGCACTGGAGTTGTTGTGATTGTTTGAGCAGGCTGTTGCTCAATCGGTGGTACAACTTCTGGTTCTTCAAAATCAGTGGAGACGATCTTCTCTTTACTGACTTCTTTGTTGTTCCACGTCCATGTCTCTTCCTCACTGAAGATGACATCTCTACTAACCACTAGTTTGCCAGTTAGTGGGTTGTAGAGCTTGTATGCCTTGGACTCTTCACTATAGCCCACAAACACACACTTCTCACCTCTATCATCAAGTTTCCTCCTTCTGGCTTCTGGAACTTGAGCATATGCAACACACCCAAAAATTCTTAGGTGTGTAACATTTGGCTTGTATCCACTCCAAGCCTCTTGTGGTGTCATCCTTTTGACACTCTTTGTTGGACATCGATTCAACAAATAAATCGAACAAGCTACAGCTTCTGCCCATAACTCTTTTGGCAAATTCTTCTCCTTAAGCATGGACCTTGTCATGTCAAGGATGGTTCGATTCTTTCTTTCGGCTATCCCATTTTGCTGTGGGGTATAGGCAGTAGTAAGTTGATGCCTAATTCCTTGCTCCTTGCAGTATGCTTGGAAAGCATTGGAGGTGTACTCTCCACCTCTATCTGATCTCACAGCCACAAGCTTGTGGTTACTTTCTGCCTCTGTGAGTGCCTTGAACTCCTTGAAAATTTTTAGGGCAGATGACTTCTCCTTGAGAAAATAGACCCAAGTCTTTCTACTGAAATCATCAATGAAGGTAATAAAATACCTATTACCTCCATAAGACATGGGATCCAATGGACCACATATATCTGTGTGCACCAACTGCAGTGGTGCCTTTGCTCTCCATGTATCACCAACAGGGAACGATAGTCGTGCTTGCTTGCCAAGCACACAACCTTCACATACTTGGCGTGTGGCTTCAATCTGGGGTAGACCACGAACCATTCCTCCACTTGACAGCAACTTTAGGCCATTGAAATTAAGATGGCCAAATCGAAGATGCCATTTCCATGACTCATCTTCCATTACACCGATGTTGCAGCTTCCAATCTTTGTGTTCAAATTCAACGGAAACATCCGGTTCTTTGACATTCGAACACGTGCAATAAGCTTTCTCCTTGCATTCCTGAGAGTGAGAAGCATGTTCTCCATATGTATAATGTACCCTTTCTGGAGCAGTTGACCAATGCTCAGAATGTTGCTCTTCATACCTGGTATGTAGTAGGTATCGGAGATGTATTCTTCTCTTCCATCCTTCTGGATGATCTTGATCTTCCCTTTGCCTTCAACTGGCAACTTTGAGGAGTCACCAAGACTTACAGATCCATAGGCCCCTTCTTTGAGTTCGGCAAAAAACTCATTCTTTCCACACATGTGATTGCTTGCACCAGAGTCCAAATACCAAACATCTTGTTGGCTTCTGGAATCATGGTGTGCTAGTAAGACTGTAAGTTCTTCATCAGTATTTCCACTTGATTCTGCCATGTTGACATGCTCACCATTTTTATGTGAACATTCATTGGCATAATGTCCATGTTGCTTACAGTTGTGACACTGGATATGCGCCTTTCCTCGAGTAGATCTCCACTCCTGAGACTGACCTTGATTTTGTGCATAGCCTCGACCTCTTCCTCAGGCTCGTCCTCGGCTACGGTTGGATGAGCTCCCACGACGTGAGTTCCACTGCCCACGACCTTTATTTGGTTTGTCAATATTCAACTTTGACTCCAAAGCTTGCTCTAGCGTTGTGGGGCTTGCATTCTTCTGAATGCGTTGCTCGTGAACTAGAGGGATCCTAGTAGCTCTTCTGCGCTCATCACCTCCAAATCCTTGGATTCCTCAATGGCAGTCACCACATGCTCAAACTTAGATGTGAGTGACCGGAGTATCTTCTCCACAACTCGTACTTCATCGAGTCTCTCGCAATTTCTCCTCATCTGATTTACTATCACAATGAGCCTTGAGTGATAGTCGGAGATGCTCTCCCCTTCATTTATATGAGCAGTTTCAAAATCTGCTCGAAGTGATTGTAACCTCACTTTCTTGACTCGATCTACTCCTTTGTAGATTGTACTGAGTGTATCCCATACTTGCTTGCTCGTTGTTGCTTCTGCAACCTTCTCGAACGTTGAATCTTCCAAACCCTGGTATAGAAAATACAGCGCATTTTGGTCCTTCTTTCGTAAGTCCTTGAGAGTGTTCCTTTGATCCGCATTATATACGACTTCCTGCTCGGCAGTGGGTACAACATACCCACTACTGACAACTTCCCATAGCTCCTGTGATCCAAACAATGCTTTGAATTGGATGCACCATCTTTCATAATTTTCTTTCTTCAATGTGGGAACTTGGAGTTGCACTAAGTTGGACGCCATAACTGCTGCACCTGCCAGAATGGTATTCTGGCTCTGATACCAATTGTTGGTATTTGACAGTTTACTAACTCAATACCAAAATATGTGGGTGATAAGTTTACAAACTCTATCACACCTCTTTCACTTTGCACTCTCAAATAAAATTGGACAAAGAAAGAAA